TGGTCGTCTATAACATTCCCTCGTGAATGTCCTTTTTACCAGCTACCTTCCAGCCAAAGTCCCGTCCAAATCGGTCCACCCGTTCCAGACATAGCGGTCCGGTCGCCACTTTGACAGTGCGGAATTTTCTAAAAAATAGCATATAATATGTCCGTCTATGTCAGCTACCCCTAAGTGAAAATCTGGTCGAAATTGGTCCAGCCGTTTCGGAGATTACCTGGAACAAACGCGGATTGCGGACAGAGAGACAGACAGACAAAAAAAAAATAATGCGGTTTCATTATCAGTAACGCAAATACTTGATATTACAAACAGACACTCCAATTTTATTATATGTATAGATGATATGAAGAGTGATTTGAATGTGATGAGTGCTGTGTGTATTTCAGGTGATGCAGACGAGCAGCGGGCCGAGCATCGTGCTGCAGGGCCTGCACGGCTACTCGCTGTCGCCGCAGCAGCTCGCCCTCGTGCAGCATCAGGTCAAGCAGCAGCTGTTGAAAGGTCACCACTTCACCTTTGCTTTATTCGATTGCAACAACATATATGGATTTGCTTCGACATCTTTAGAATTTGATATAATATTTTTTTCCACTGGCTCATTGGTAAGCTCGTCCAAAACGTTTTCAGTATTTCCAGGTCTAAAGGGTTGTAAAATAATACAATAAAGTGTAATAGTAGATAGTATGTTCAATGTGGTTCAATGTGCCTCACAGCCCAGGAGGCGACGGGGAAGCAGGGCATGCTGGGGCCCAGGAAGATGTACCTGGCCGTGCACCCCTCGCCCAACGCGGCGGCCGGCGCGCTGCCGGCAGTGGCGGCCGTGGCGGCGCCGCCCACTCTGCAGCCGCTGCAGCCGCTGCAGCCGCTGCAGCACATCCAGCAGCTGCAGCACTTCCAGCCGCTGCAGCCGCTGCAGGCGCTCTCGCTGCCCGCGCACCAGGTAATCTATTACTACTAGAATTGAACAAACCGAAGTTAATTTATGGTTATCATAATTACTATGTTGTAACGTGTAACTTATAAAAAACGTCATGTATTATTACCAATTGTAGGTGCAAAGTTATCATAATAGCTTATTAGAACATTCTCCGTTTCGTATTTTCAATTATATATAAACGACAAAAACACAAAATTATATCGAAATGTTTTAATTTGAATATGTTAATATTCGTTAACTACATACACTAGAAAAATATTTTTAAAAAGTCTGCACTTTGCATAAAGTCGGTCAATTTAATAAACGTAGTAGGTGCACAATATTTGCTTACAAACATCAATCAATAGTCGTTAATTTAATTTGAACATTTTATAACAACATCAAATTACCATTGCCAATTTTTCTTGTTGATCTAAAATACGTTTTTGTATCACTGACCATGGCAAGAAGAATCTAACATTTTTTTATCATGATCTAGACCCTATATTATTGACAGTACGCCAGCAAGTAGGGTTGTGGGTCTGTCTTTAAAAACAATATTTAGTGTCACAAACCAACCAAAGAGGATGGTTTGTGGCATTCCAACATGTTTTATTAAAGCACCATGTCAGGCGTGGAGGATAATATTTACCCCATAGGTTTTTGGTAACAGACACCAAATGCACAAGGTATTATAGTTCCTTAAGAATTGTAAATGGTGCAAGTAATCCACTTCAAATACGACAAACTTCGACGTCAACCGATCATCTACAATAGTATTTAGGACTAACGCATAAACTGTCATAAAGATATGATTAGGTTCAAAGTAAAAAGACTGGTTTTGTGTCTTATACTTTTATGTAAAACATTATAAATATTAACATGTTTGTAATCATTATTACCCCATGTTACGATACATGTTTGATTCCGTATGATATACTTTGCACCGTCACTAGTGGACTGTTAAGATGTGTATAGCTTTAGTATCGTAAGTATTTATGTAAATACTATAAAGACTGGTCAACATCATAAAACACGATTTTAGACATCACACGCAGAAAGCCTCACAATGGTAATAATCAACACTGTATTGTGTTTATATTCTCATATAAAAATATACCTTGAATGTAGTAGGAATGTTAAACGAGCGATGTCTAGAATTGTGATTATTGTGTCTATTAAATTAAAGTATGGAAGGATTTTCTCCGCATTTGTTTTACACCAAAGATTACATGTATATTGTTAGTGATAATTTAGAAAATGTGTTATATAGTTAATGCAGTGAAAACGCGGAAAATGTATCGCGCTTGCGGACGGCAGATGACTTTATTTATTCCTGCAGGCCTGCCTTACTCGGTTACCTGTCTTCATTTTAAAATCATCAAATCTTATTTTATTTTTTGATGGACATAAACCGTCTTCATTTAGTCAAATTGACGTATAAATATTTATATAAATAGATCTAATATTTTATATCTAAAATTTAAATGCGCACATTTTGTTAGCTTTATTTTCCGCACTTTCATACTGCATATTAAAGTAAGATTTCCATGGGGTAACTATAGTTAATTCGCAGTATTATTTCGATCTAACGCAACAGTTTTAGTAAATTGTGCAGGACAATGTGGTAATTTTGCACATTTAGTGTAATGTGTTAAAATAGTTTTCTTTTTAATCAAATCTACAAATAATGAAACATTTTATACCAGCAGTTGGATTAAGGATAGATTCAATAAGTTGTCTTTTTTTACGTTAGTGCTCCGCAACGAATATGTGTACAACACACTATATTAAACGATTAACTTGATACATGTGAGTAGTTGTCGGCCCCCACTTGCGGTGCAGTGCCACATTAATACTTATCCTTAGGATCGTAAAAAGAATATATTTTTACAATATCCATGGTATGTCAATTTTTAATATTCTACATTAAAGGTAATGTTTTCTTATAACATATTGTGTAGGCGTAATGTATGCAGTTGTATGTTGCATTGGTTAATGTGGAATTGTACAATATTACCAAATATTGATTAGCATTGTTATAAAGTATTGATTGTAGCCCACTGACTATGGAAATGGTTCCGGTAACAAATTGCTCATACACCACCTTAACTTGTCTGTACCTCTAGTTGATACTCTGATACAGTAAACTATGAATGGCTAGTGCAATATCAATTTAATAAAATATTATAATCAGGAACGACTTTTATTTATTAAGTCCTTTTATATATGTCTGTTTCTTTTTCCTTTTTTTGCATCTTATGTTAAACGTTTTGTGGGGGTGTATGGGCAATTGCGTACCTAAGCACATGTTCAAGTTTTTAATTTTAAACAATAAACGGACATTTTACACTGCCGATGTACATTATGTAGATGTTCCATATAATAACATTAACTGATATATTCCCACAAACGGCTGTTTATTCATTTTTGTTATACTTTTATGTTTTGTATCATGTTTTGCATATTTACTTGATTTTAAACCATTTTTGTTACCATTTTATTCATACCATTTTGACTATTTCTTTTGAGTATATTCGATTATTTCGAATAGTGCAAAGAAATTGTCTTTCAACATGGAATATACTGTCATATTATTTCCTTGAAATAATCCATTTTTACAATTTGAGTTTTAGTCATCAAGTGGCTACAGATTCAATGATATTGCAACGAATGATGCAAAATGTCAACAAATCTAGCATTTTTAATTTTAGGACGGTAATGAAGAAGACCGTACAAAACGTCAGTCCTTAGTGAACGGCGAGGACAAGGTGGCAGTGGCCGCCAGCCACAAGGAGGCTATGCCCTCTAAGCCTGAAGATATACCGGAGAATAATACTAAAACAGACATTGTTAACTCTGTACACGACGGCGTGCAAGCCAATAAATTTATTTTAACTCCAGACTATATACAGCAGAGTAAGTTTTTTTAATTAACTAATTAACAGTTAAAGTCTCCACACACACAAACTAACCATTAAAGAATAATTAAGTTTACAAGCATAAGCGAAGAGGTAGTTTTCGATTTTTAGCATTCTTGTTGATACTCACCAGATCGTTATAATTTAGATTATTGTTATTTTTCTTCATGAGTTGGATTCACCTACTGTACAACATTACAATAAAATACAAGACTAATTACAATACAAAGTATAGGAGCATAGGGAAACCTAGATAGTCCTAGTGAAACCATTTTAGAGTAGACATCCCTTTTTTCAACAATACTAGAAAATTAAACGTTAGAGTAAACGAAACCAATTTTTATTTCTACACCGATCTACAATTAAAGATCCATTAAACATTTTCTAGCAATAAAAAGTGCACTGAAGCAAGAAAACCTAAACCCAGAGATCGAAGAGAAACTCTTGCAGCTGCAGCGATACCAGGAGAAGCAGATGAAGCCGGAGTCGCAGCCGGAG